ATAAATTTTTATTGTTTGTTTTTATTTCAAGAAATTTGCGCTTTGCTGGTAGCATAACTAGAGTTCGCTCCAGGCATGACACGGGGCCCCATTTTAATCAGCTAAAGCAAGCTGTACAGTCTACATACAGCATGTACATTTCAAAAATAGACTTTTTAATGAAATTTATGTGTTTTTGGTTCGTTAATTTATGGCGTGTATTGTTTTCTCAGTTTGTCATTGTTGCAAAAAGGAAATCTTTGGAATAAACGGTTTTGAAAACTGCCCTGCAGACCAATTTTTCGTATGCACCACAAATTTTGTCATAATTTTTCTTACTACACCTTTTTTCGTCCGGGCGTTGCTTATGTTTTTCAAATGTATTTTTTTTTGCCTTACAACACTTTTTTTCAAAATTAGACAATGTCATGTTATTTAATATTAATTGTTTTTGTTTGAAAAATAAAACAATATTTAGAACAAAATTCAGCCTCACCTGCAGTTTATCGCTAGGACCACACCTATATTTGAAATTTTTAGAATTTACGACTAAAGATTAACATTTTTTAGTTGAAAATATAGCAATTGGTTTTGATAATTACTTGAGGAATTATGACATGAAAAGTTCCATAAAGGTTTCATCCATACTTTATCTTTAAAAGATGTTCCTCTTGAAAAACAAAAGAGGAAATTACATTTTTACCGTTATTTACAACAAGACGTGGCTGGAAATTCGAATATAATAATTTACTTTAATAAAGATTGTAGACAAAGCCGGACAAAAAAAAGGATGTGGTCGGACGAAATAATGATTAATTGTGAGACCAATTGTGGTCGGATGAAAGAAAGGAAGTTATTTTATTTGTGGAACTAGATAATCGAGACTGAAACCATACACTGTGCAGTAGTTTGTATCCTGATGGGAAACCTTTGTAATTCTTTCCATCTAGACAAGGAAAACAACATCTGTACTGCAGCTCATGTAAGAAAATCTTAATTTAATGGGAGTGTTCGCGGAAAATGAGAGGGGGTATACGCTGATATCAAATCGAATTCGATATCGATAATCGATCATTATAACTAATTTTACTAATATCTGTTTCGTCATATAGGAAGAAAATGGGTAAAAACGTCGTGTAACTAAGAGCTTAGCGTCCATACAAATTCACATTCGTGAATATTTCAATTAAATCTAAAATTGAACATTCAGACATTATAACCTGTAAGTGTGGAATGCAATTTGATGCCACTTTGTAAAGAGTTGATATTTCATAAATTTTTCAATTTTTTTAGACACAATGTAATTTAAATGCCAATTATTTGGCCGCTTGGTGCCTCTGCTCTCGATCTTTTTGTGTTCCACATGGGTGAGACACCTAACGGTTAAAAAATCGTCGATTTAAAGGGAGTGTTTGCGAAAAATGTAAGGGGGTATTGGCATACGACGAAAAATAATAGCTTTCGATCGCTGAGAATCTTACTTCTATCTGTTACGTCTATAAGGAGAAAATTGTTAAAAACGACTTACTGCAAAGAACGTAGCGTCCATACAAATTCAGAAAGTTGCAATTTTCAACTTGGATTAGGGTTTCCATTTTTCTGGAACAAATTTACATTTTGGAAATGGAATGATCGTAGGTTTTTCCTGTTTACGGAATGGAAACCGTAAAATTTCCAGTTTCCACTTTGTAAACCGGAAATTTTTCCAGTTCACATAACGTAAATTGTAAAATTTCCATTTCGTAAACTGGAAATTTTAACACAATGTTAGACAAAGAAAGCAATGTTAAAACATTAAAAGTTAAAACTTATTAGTTGACATATATTAAATATGCATTTAGTTCTATATAATTATATATTTAAAAATATTTTACTATAGTTTATCACGACTATCTTACAGTTACAGTTTTTACTTTCCCCACAATATTTTTGACCAATTAGTTATTATTTTTTATAGGGTCCTTGCATAGGCTTAGCACCCCCCCCCCCCGTATTTGATCAGGATGGGATTATTGAACCATATAAATAAGAATTTATAAAAACAAGGCTTTAAACAGATAATCAAAAAAATAATAAACTAGACATTTTTTCCAAAATCCGGAACCTTTTCCTTGGAAATGGAAAAAATTTCCGAATCATTTCCGTACGTAAACCGTAACCCAAAATTTTGGTGGAAACCCGGTAACTTGCATTGAAAATATTTAATTCAATTTCAAACAAATCATTCAGACATTACAACCTATAGTTATTAATTATTTTTCGACGCATTCATATTCAGTTAATATTTCATAATATTTTTTATTCGTTTTATATACAATGCACTTTAAATGCCGAAATAGTCTCTGCTTGATCGATGCTTTGAATAATTACTCTGGCAGAGACACCTAGCGGTAAAAAGTGATATGAAGAGTAAACTTAAATTAAAAATTCTCCTGTATAATAGTTGGACAAGCTCGAATATGTCTTGGAAGAAGAAGAAGTTTTTGCTTACGTCGAAACTGAAGTCTTGAAGGGACTGATGCTGGTATGTGAGTATTTAGATAAGTCATTAATGGCGATCGGGCATTTTCTTTTAAATAAAGATAAATCTAAAATTTCTTGTTAACATCAGTATAGTTTGGAAAATGTACCGAAAGCATACTGACAAGAAAAGAAGGACAATATTGACAAGAAATGATATATTGTTATTTTTATCTATGTTTCTAATTCATAATGAAATCAACTTTTATTTTTTAGATCCTACCTTCTACAACAACCACTACAACCACAACAACAACAACCACTACAACAACCACTACAACCACCACTACCACAACAACAACAACCACCACAACAACCACTACAACAACAACAACAACCCCTGCACCAATGTAAGCTCAGTCAAAAGATCAAAAGTTTTCGATGCGTTTTTATTTCAAATACTAACTATCCTTCCTTTAAAAAAGACATGAAACTTGTCATCCCAACCCAACTATCCAAATTGGAGGGAGGATTTTTGCCACACAGCACACTAGACTTTATAAGTACCAAATTTCACCGCAAGGTATCTCTGTTTGTTTGATGCAAAACTTAAAAAAAGTAAGAAAGTTTAGATTCAATTTTCTTACTAAAAGTTTATCATTTAGAAGTCAAGATTTGGGTTTAAAAATCATTTTTATTTTTTTAAATAAAACATTTTTATTAAGAAAATTCAATGAATTTTCGATCAAAAAGATTTAGATTCTTTTATATCTCACTATAATTTACACAGCCAGAGAAATTAAGGTTCATGTGTTAAACAGTGTTTCTTAAGCTAAGGAATTAGTTTAGAGTGCTAAGTGCATGCATGCTTTCATCATTACGTGAAATCCACACATCTGCGGAAACAGCACCAGAAGTTACAGCTTTATGTAGAAATAATTCCGCAATTTATACAACGTCTCGGCTTAATAACTACGCAAACTAGACAAAGAAAAGTTGCCTATTATTTGCGTTGCAAAGTGTGCGATTTTACGTCTCTCACAACATAAAAAGAGCCGAAATCTCTACGCAATATTTACGTAAAAATGCCAAAAGTGACGTTTATATTGCGCTCTTTTTGCGCAATTTGGCTAGCTGGGAACTTCATAACAAGGAAAACTAAATCTAGTGTTTTTAACTTTGATAAGCTAGTTGAATTGTTAAAACTCAAGATCAACTTAGAATCTTAAACCAATCTAAGAACATTCCCTTGGCCTCCCGAGTTCCCCAATCAAAATGATATAGGCAAATCAGTAAAGGGGTTCCTGAGTTATGGTCGGACAAACAATCAGAGATTACAACTTTATATGAGAGTCTTGACCCTATGTACTTTAACTAAATTGCCATTTTCAAATTCAACTGAAACCCTCCATAGGGGTGAAGACGACAGGAGCTATCTATTTTGATTCATCCTGGAGAAATCAGGCGTGCAACTAGACATTTTGTAAGGGAGGGGCAAGAGTGAAGTATTACGCACAAACATTCCCCCCCCCCCTAAACAATTTTAGGAGGGGGGGGCAAGAAAAATGTGTATTATACTCAAACAATAAAATTAAAATAACCGTACCAATCAGATATTCAGTAAGTCAACACATCTGATATGAAAGAAAAAAAGAAATCTATTCTAATTGATTTACAATTTACATCAATATAAATTCATTATTCATCCCTAAATCAAATATGTACATTGTCCTCATTAAAAAATCATGATTTTATATGAAAAATATTTTTTTATATGACACATCACACAATATTTGCGGTGAATATGTAGGATTAATTGAATAGTTCTACTACTACTACACCATTAAATCAATAGCATAATGACATCAAATAATTCAAATGACAACTACTTTAACCAGTACAGCAATATTACTGTCAGACTAACAGATAATTCCATTCCACTGAACATTATTGCAGTCTACAGGGACTACAGGTCTCCAAATTCAAGTGAAACTAACAACCAGGAACTAAATAAACTCTTATCTAATATTAAAAACAACACAGTTCTAATTGGTGATTTCAATTTTCCCAAGATTAACTGGGAAAACAAAACAAGTGACAATTCTAGCAAAGAGTTTTTGGATAAAGTAAATGAAAGCTCTTAGATCAAATGGTATATTTTCTAGCACATAAGGCTGGTAATATTCTTGACTTGGTAATCACAAACAACCCCAATAGGGTGTTAAGTGTTGAGAATGCCGGACTAATTGGAAAAAGTCACCATGATATGATTCTAGTTGAATTAAACTGCACACCCATGAGGAAGGAAAATTTACAGGAGATTCCTAATTGGCAAAAAGCAGACTAAAAAGGAATAAAAAACTTACTTAAAAGATTTAACTGGGAGAGTGATTTCTTAAACTGTTCTACAGAAGAAGCATGGGGACTGCTCAAGACAAGGTTAGAAGACAATGTAATGCTTCATGACCCAAAAATTAAAAGAAGGGCCAACAACAAACCAATCTGGTTGGATAAAAAACCCAAACAACAGTGTGAAGAAAGTATAGACTTTACAAACGACTGAAAGAAAACCATACCCCAACAGCAGAAGATAACTACAAGAAACAGGAGAAATTAGCAGAGATAGCTCTGAATCGTGCAAAGAGAAAATTTGAAAGAAGACTTTCCCGAGCCAGTAAGGTATCCAACAACAATCAGTTTAACGCTTACATCAGGTCAAAAACCAAGTGTAGATCAACTATTGGCCCATTGATAGATAGTGACAGCAACAAGGTTATTGAAGATGACAAAGTGGCCGAACTTCTTAATGACATTTTTGCTGGGTTTCACCATTGATGGTTCAGGTCAAGTACCTTTAGTGGAAAAGATTATAAATCAATGATGTTGTCATAACAAAGAAAGATATTGTAAAAAAGATTAAAAAGTTGAACCCATCCTCTGCTCCAGGTACTAACAACTTGTCAGCACATCTGCTCCGAGATACTTTGGAACCTATTTCTGAAGCATTGCTGATAATTTTCAGAAAGTCTTTGGACTCTGGAGAGATTCCATCAGACTGGAACCAGCTAATATCACCCCAATCTATAAAAAAGGTTCTAAATTCCAACCATCTAACTGTAGACATGTCAGTCTAACATCTATTACGTGTAAGATCTTTGAGAGTATTTTAAGAGATCAGCTCATTACACATCTTTCTGACAACAACCTCATAAATTCAAGTCAGCATAGGTTTATGTCCAATAAATCCAGTGTCACAAATCTACTGGAGTTTCTGGAGACTGTGATGGACTTTGTAGACAAGGGATTTAATCTAGACCTTATTTATCTTGACTTTTCCAAGGCCTTTGATACTGTACCCCACCTGAGATTAATTGAAAAAATCAATGCTTGTTCTATTGGTGGAAAAATTTTAAAATGAATTGAAAGCTGGTTACAGCACAGAACAAAAAGAGTAGTTCTCAATGGATCTTCATCAACATGGAAAGAAATGCTATCTGGGGTACCTCAGGCTAGCGTGTTGGGTCCTCTTCTATTTGTGATATTCATCAATGATATTGATAAAGCTGTAGAGTGTGTTACTATCATTAAGAAGTTTGCGGACGATACAAAAGTAGGACACATAGTCACGAATCCCACTGACTCGGAAACACTTCAAACAGCTCTCAACAATCTGTCCAGTTGGGCAGATCTATGAAGGAAAAGATTTAACACTGATAAATGCAAGGTTATGCATGTGGGAAGAGGAAATTCTGAAACAAACTACTTAATGAACAACCAGGTCATATCTAAAACAGAAAAAGAAAGAGATATTGAAGTTATAATCCATAAATCTCTAAAGCCATCCCTCCAGTGTAAGGAAGCAGCCAGAAAAGAAAATCATGGTGCTTAACCCAAATTTCACGCTCCTTTCATTACAAAGACAGAAAAACCTTCTTAAACCTGTTCACAACTTTAGACCCATACTGAATTTTCAACCCATGGCTTCAACAGGATCAAGAAGTACTAGAAAATGTACAAAAAAGAGCTGTCACCATGATCTCTGGACTTCGCAGCAATAATTATAAAGACAGGTTGAAATAACTCCACATACTTAGTCTGAAGGACAGGTGGATTCCATTTGACATGGTCCAAACTTTCAAAATTGATAGAGATTGATAGAGTTGATAAAAGAGTTTGATTCAAGTTTGAAGAAGACAGAGGAGAGAGAGTAACACGACTCTCAGTAGGTCCCTTGAACATTAAAAGTAAACTATCCAATTCAGAGTTGAGAAGAAGATTTTCCTCTAATCATGTAGTTCAACAATGGAATGACATACCAAAAGAAATAAAAAACGCCAAATCTGTTGGCTCCATTAAAAGCCAATACATACAGTGGAAACTCCGCCAGTCTAAAAATTAGGAAACTAAATGAAAATATTAATGTACCAGATTGGAAGATCTGAAAGATGTATCTACATTGTCCCTATCAGTAGGGTGCTTGATTCCAGACTTCAAGTAAACAAGTATAATAAGTGGCAGAACTGATAGTGAAAATATCAAAAAGTACTTAATAACCTCCTTTTCCCTTTCCCAGGAATTCATAAATCACTAAATTGCAAAACAGGGTGGTTTTCTTGCCCAGACTTAATATCCAAAAAAATAATATATTGTTTATTAAATTTATGTACGATACATTTTTTATCCATTGCCACGCTACAGGTCATGGATAAAAATGTTTTATTTATACTGGAAATTTTCCTCTGGAGGATTCCAGCTGGAAAAGGGGTTTCTTGGGACCCTTTTCTGCAGGAAAAAAATAACAAAATTTTCGTCGGAACTGCTCAGGCTTAAAGTTTGTAAGTTATAACTCTTCAAAATAATATTTTTTAAATATATTCATATGCTTGCAAACGATCTTTCTAATAATCTCAAAACTGGAAATTATCCTTTTTATTGAGTTTAGTTGAAATATACATACAACATGAAAAAAGAAAAACATTAAAATATCTGAGAAATTAAACAAATTACAAGAGACTATTTTGATTGAGAGATAAAGAGGATTAGTAGAGAGGCACAAATATCTTCTAATATAGCATTAAAGGGAATGTGCGCCAAAATTATAACTACAAATTACAGGGGTAGTACTATGATAAACCAGACCTAATATCAGAGCCATTCCAGTCTGATTACTTACTGCTTTAAACAAAAAAATTTGGCATTTTTATAGTCCCAAAGGAAGGGGAAAAAGGCAACTTACGCAACTGATTTTTGGGGTGGGCAGGTTGGCTTGGTCGAAAAAAGATTGCCTTAGGCCACCCCCAGAAAATGTCAGGTTATCTAGAGGCTTGAATGGCTTGATTGCGACTAAAGAATGCCTAAGGCTAAGCAAAATTCTGCATCTAGAAGGTATATATATATATATATATATATTGCAATGTATATGGTTAAAAGTGAGTCCCATCAACAAGTTTACGCAAATCGATGACATTTAAGAAAAAAATTATCTCAAAACCATCTAAAAGAAATCAATTAAAAACAAAATTTTAACAAATAATATTCATGCAGGACCATGAAGGTGCTCTTTTCAGGCAGAATCTTTATAGTAGAGTTACTGATTGAGAATAAGAAACCAAATCTATTAAGCAGAATTTTAAAAGAAACATTAGCGCAGCATACTGTCAAAGATGTGTTAAGATAAAATCATGAATTTCTATAAAAATAAACAAACCATTATGTACAAAAAAAAACAAAAAAAAACAATCTACATTGATGGGCAAACTTCAAATCAGGGAAGTCAGTGCAATATTATTCTTACATTTTGAATGGATTTAATATCTTTTAAATCAGTTCTAAATATGCAGTTTCAGGTTCTACAGTAACCCAAAAAATACGTCCAGGCCACCATAAGCTAAATATTTGTTAAAGCCAAGTAAATTAAAGTTTGACATTTGAATTTACATGTTTAGGCTGAAAAGGCTCCTCCTGCTGGGGTAAACAGGATGAATATAGCTTGATTATATATGTATTTTATTCAGAGTGTGGAGCTCAGTTGTAGATGGACCCTTTGGAGGCACAGGTGGATCAGCCTGGTCAGATTCAGGGGAGGTTCATAATGGACCTCCTACTGGTATTTTTGTGAGGTATAACATTTAAAAAAAAAATTAACATTAACCCTATTCTGATGGGGCTATTTTTGTCTAATATAGATTGGGGGCTATGATTTTGCCCTTAGAGTTGAGAAAGCCGGAAGTGTGATACATGTCTTTAGTCCAACTTTTCAAAGCCTGCTCATTATAAGAAATAATTAGACCTCTATCTTTAATGTTTAGGGTGCTAGGGAGGATTTTAAAAAGTTAAAAAGGAACGTCTGAAAAATGTTCAAAAATAAATATTTTTAATTTTTTTAAAATATACATTTTAGCCCAGTAGCCTAAGTAATAAGAAAGTTATTAACCATTTCCGATTTTTTTGAAACACTAACCCACCAATGACTGCTCTCCACCCAACCCTATGCATCAAAAAAAATGTTTTGTTCAGCAAAATTTGTTCACAACTATGAAGTTAAAAAGTGAAGAAGTTTTAGCGTTCTAATTTAAGCTATTCTAAAGATATTTAGAAAAAACAACTTAGGGGGGGAGAGGGGGAACCCCCCCCCCCATCATGATAGGGTAAATAAAAACCAAGTCTAGAAAAAACCTAGAGTCTTTTCAAATGCTGTTGCTTTTAATCACAGACAAGATTTTGACTAATTCTCTACTGGATCCGAAGATTGAAGACTATTATGATCCCAAAAAAAATGGTTTATAAAGCTAGGCTCAAGAAAATTTGAATCTAGGGCAAGTTCCACAATAGATGGAATTGAATTCGTGTATGGAAATGTGGCAGGTGCACAACATGGTGGAACTGGAGGATCTGTTTTCTCTTGTAATTGGAAATCAGATGACAAGGTTCTCACTGTTAAGGTAACTATCATCATTGCTTGACCTGTAGATGTTAACATACAGGTTTACCCACAGCGGATGAGACTTCAGAGACGACTGTACATTTATTATTTAGTGGTTTTCCTTAGATTGATGGTTTCTCTAGTTCCCTGAATGTACATATAAGTTATAACTGAAACATCATTTTTATCACAATTTGTTCAAACGTTTTAGCGCTAGTAGTAAAAGGTTGATTAAAAGTTCTCTTGCAAATAAGTGCAATTTTCGTGGGAAAACTAAAATTTGTAATTTGCGTTTTTGTTAGCACACCTGAATTTTGCCTGAAATTTGGGGCAATTATTGCAATTTGCGTTGAAAACCCTAACTCAAACCTTTCAGGGCCAAGGAGGTGACTATTTGGACCAGATAGAATTAATTACAGAGAGTGGTGTTAGGTGTGGACCTTATGGTGGTGGAGGTGAGTAAATCATTATTGATTAGGCAATTCATCAAAGGTTTCATATTGTTCGTGTATTTTACAAATTCAAAACATTTTCACATTTATCACATAATCCCAATTTAATGACAATTATCATTTTGAGTATAATCCACAATTTAAAACAAAACTCACTTAATTTCTTAACTTTAGAATTGGATACCCTTAATCCTGATCTCATAATCTGAATATCCATTCTGGAAACTTTTAATTTTCTTTTTAATCAGCTCTTTTTGGATATCCCATTCCCTACTATATGTAATAAAGATATGTTTGATTACAAATACAGATGCATTGATTGGACTAATATCCAATTGAACTAAATTCTGCTGTTCACAAGCCGGTTTTTTGAGCATTTATACAAATATAAATTTAATCATGTTAATATGAGCTTATTAAAAAATGTATTATTTCACATTTGAGGATCCCATTCCCTACTATATGTAATAAAGATATGTTTGATTACAAATACAGATGCATTGATTGGACTAATATCCAATTGAACTAAATGCTGCTGTTCACAAGCTGGATTTTTGAGCATTTAAACAAATATAAATTTAATCATGTTAATATGAGCTTATTAAAAAATGTATTATTTCACATTTGAGGACTATAGTCCTAGTATTTTTTTAACGTTAGTCTTAATAAACATTTATCAAAAACTTACGTTCATTCCATCGATCCTTTGTCCAATTGATATGACAACACATGAATGCAGAAAAATAAAAAATAACTGTTTTTCAAAGGTTAAATACTAAATTAATCTTAAGATAGATGTATGAGAGGATCAAGCATTGATCTCAATATCCCCCATTCTAAAGTTTTGAGTTCTGATGATTAAATTTCCTGCATTTGAAATAAACATTTTAATTTAAACTTATTGAACTTGTTGAAAACAGGTGCATAGCGCCCTGGAACAGATAAATAGCAAAAATAAAACATAACCTTAAATGAAAAATAGCAAATAAAGGGATTGATGAAATCAAGGTTACTAATAATATTTGTTGAAAAAGGGAACTTATGAAGAGTAAAGATAAAACATAACATTTGCATTGTGAAGGTGGAAGTGCCTGGACTTCTAGCCGTCCTGGCTGTGTACTTAAGTACTTTTCAGGTAAAGCAGTTTTTATAAAAGTGTAATTTTTAATTCATAATCTTGGTGTGCCATGGCATTGGAAATATAAAAGAAATATTTAAGCTCTATGCAATGATTTCCACAACAGAAAACAAGCCACTAAACTTAAACTAACCATTATTAACCCTATAAAAGCTCAAAGGTTTTATTTGGTTTGGAAATAATTGCATGAAAAGATTTCTTTTGGAAAGTAAAGACTAGAAAAAATAGATTAAGGACCCATGTAAATGTCGTCTTCAGCTAGAACTTCAAAATTTTCATAATCAAAGATAAAAAAATGTTGTATGTTTTTATCTGTTTTATATGCAAATACTATATAGTCTCTTAATAAATTCATTGATTTTGCCTGGCAGGCTTGCACTTCTAATTCTGTAAGAATTTATCTTTAAAACTGCTTAGCTTTGTTTTGGTCCCCCCTTAAAAAGAAAAAGAAATGTAAGCCCTTCCTGGGAAAAAAAAACCTGAATATGAATCTCTTAATATCTTTAAAGCTATGTTGTTACATGAATCTAAAGCGTGGGTATCATAAAGTATGAATTCTAAAGCTCCACGCTTAACCTTCAAACAAAATACTTAGCCCTACCTTTCAGCAGACAAAGAATCCTACATCCACGTAAAAGAACCAGATATTTCCGGATCAAACAAAACATCAAATACAAAAAACATAAATATATTTCTTACAAAAAACTAAAAGATATAAAAAACTGCACCAATTCTATTTCGTTTATTAAAATAACAAATTGTAATAATATGACATATTAATTAAAATTTATATATTTTTATGAAACCCCTACACTGGCTCCCTGGCTACACCAAGAACGTAGACCTTGAACAAAACAGGCAACCTCAATCCTGCAAGACAAACCGACAAGCAGTTCAAATCAGGATATGAGCTAGAGAGGTTCCTCCAAGTCTCCATAACACAACCTATTTGATTCCATCTATGTTTTACGAGAAAATACATTATTCCAAAAGTTCTTTATTGGCTCAAATGGGATGAGGCGCGACCAAGAACCTGGTACTCCTTGCTATCCCTGCAGCCTCTACCTACACCATGAGCAAGTTACACGCTCTATACTCAAAAAGCCTATAGGATACACTTTTGTATCTTTTGGCCAACAGGTCAGTAATTTACAAATTACAAATTACCTACGTAATCATCGCTAATTACAGTTCTTTTATCTCTGACGGTCCACTTCTGCCGATTATTGTTTAAGTGCTGTTCCCGACCAGTTCCAGTCCCAGTGTACAAGCTCCTGTTAGCTGTTGCTGAGAGGTTCCAGTCCCAGTGAAGGAGCTCCTGAGCTTGTTTTCAGCTCTCTAACATTACGCATTGGATTCACAGGAATCCAATGCTAATCAGGCAATAATATTTTCCTTTTTTCACTTTTCCATTTCTCCCTGTATTCTATTGTAGTGCACCAGCCCCAGCCTCCTGTACTTCGGCCTGTCCTGTACTACGCAGCAGCGGTTTTCCTCTACATTCCCCTCTACAAATCTCTTCTCTGGATCGTCTAAAAATTAAAAAAGGTGCAGTTTTTTTATTTTCAATTAAATATTGCATATATCTCCGTCAAAAAGTAGTATTTTGTATTGTTTGGCATTTCTTTTACAAAAGGATAAGAAGTTCCGTTTCTGCATAATTTGTTAGGCTTGGTTAAGATTTGATCCCTAACAAATTCATAGTGAAGGTTCCTATATTTGGGAAGTTTTTTTGATACTTTTGAGTACCCACCATTATTTCAACCCAACCATGACTGACCCAAATTGAGACCATGAACTGAAAATTGCAGAATTGTCCATTACTTTACCAGACCTACCAAAATCTATCCTTGACAAACTGAGTGACAGGCTTATTTCCTTCCTAACCCCCTCTGAGGTACGAGCTTTGTACCTTGACAACCCGCCCCTTGAGTCTGCACCCCCTGCTCTAGCCACTGCGCTTATCATCTCTACAATATCTACGCTGGTCTCTGCAGCTGCTGTGGAAATCACACAGCACTTACCTGCAACCTTTGTTAAACCTGTCTATACCTTGAGTGAAAGGGTACTCCAGTCTAAGGATTTGGAGACCCTGCGAAACTTCTGGAAAGATGGGAGGGGAATGGGCTCACTAGAAGGATCATTGGAATTCTATAATTTCTTCCTAGGTCTAAAGGTCGGCCTTAGTGAGATTGAATGCATTAAGGGTTTATACACCATTTTACCCACAGAGTGCTTGAGCACACTAGAGCAACTCAAATTTTGGAAAGCAACCATTCCCGAGGTTTTCTCTACTCTCCAGACCATACATGGATCTAGGAAAACCCTTGACTAACTTCAATCATCCATTGAGATCGTCATTAAAAACCATGAAAAACGCTGATAATAAATCTCCGCTAGAGGTTTTATCAGCGATGAATAACCTGCTCCTTAAGTCCTCATCCAATCAAATGGAGATGGATGCGACCACCATTTGGGAAACCCGGCGGTTTTTGAAGGGGGGGGGGGGGGAAACCTTATGGAATGCGATCCTTGCGCACTTTAATACCACACCAGGCCGTCATTTTAGGGATTTACTGCGCATTTTAACTGAGCACT